TGGTGGCTATTGTAAATGGGCAAGCTTTCTTGATTTCCCTTTCTGCATGTTCACTATTGGTACCTCATATCTGTTAAACTAGTTTTAGGATTTATGTGTTTTCTGAATAGTTTTAGCATTCAGGAATGAGCTAACATAAAATGAATTATATTGAGGAACTGCCTATGTTTTAGAAACTGTTTATTGTGGCCTTTTAATTTCCTCCCCAGAAGCAGACTAGTCTGTATTTTGGTTTATTTTACTACCTAAAGAAAAACAAACTGGGGGTGAAGGTAGACAGATCAGACAAAGCAAATTTGCTAATTTGCAAGAGTCAAGGAAAGGGCTATAAAATATCTTGCATACTTCTAGTTTATCTTATTTCTCTGCCTTATTTCTGAACAGATAATTAATATAGCTGTGAACTAATACATTTGTTTACTTTGTCAGCAAACTTGACCTTTAAATATATTGAAGTACTCAAAATATAAAAGATCTGATTTAGTGGAAAGGATACTAGACTGTTGGAGTTTTAAGATTAGGATCTAAGTCTTCACTTTTTTTCTTTCTTTCTTTTTTTTTTTTTGGTGCATCTTGCTGCTACGGGGATTGAACCCTGGACCTTGGTGTCAGCAGTACCACCAACTAAGCTAACTGGCCAGCCCCTCAGTCCTCATGTTTTTTTACCTCTCATCATGTGACCTTGGGCAAGGCATATTTTCATCAGTAAAATGGGGGTGGCTTATAAACTAAATTCTAAATATCTGTTGTAGTTCATTCATTCAACAGATATTTATTGATATTTGAGAAATATTTACTTTTTGCTACTTAGCCTAGGTGCTAAAAAATATCTATATTCAATTTTGTATATATTTTACCACAATTTAAAGTGTATATATGTGTATATTTGTTATATATGTGTACAGAGGTATATATGCGTGTGTGTGTGTGTGTATATATATACTTATATATTTTAAATACATTCTCCTTGCACTTGGGGGGCCTATAAGTTAGAAGAGGAAGTAAGTAGTTCATCAATGAAGTGTTTAAAGTTGTTAAGCAAATTCGGAATTTATAGGCAAACATTATAAACAAACATTTTATAATGTTATAAAATGCTATAAACATTTTATTGATAAAATACCACCCTTCAAGAAGCAGTGGTTTAATCAGATAAAAGATAAACCACACAATGCAGAATACTAACCACTACATGATCACGGTAAGCTACTGGGGACCCGAAGATAAACAACGTTAAGAATCTAAGGCATAGCCTGCACACACTTTTTCTGTAAAGTGTCAAATAGTATTTTAGACTTTGCACACCATATAGTCTCTGTTACAAGTATTCAGTTTTGCCATTGTAGCTCAAAAGCAGCCTTAGAAAGTACATAAATGAATGGGCATGGCTGTATTCCAGTAACACTTTACTTACAGAAACGTTAATGAGGGAGTAAAGATGACTTAAAAATGTGAGATATGAATTGTAAGTGATCCTAAGTGGTGTTTATAGGAGAGTGAGGTAACTAGTGGAGGCGGTTTGACAAGAAATGGAATTTTAATTAGCTTTATAGGCTGGGTAAGTTTCAGACATGTGGAAGAAAGAATTTTAGATGACTGGGGCAAAAAATGGTCCATAGAGGACTAAAAAGATGTGTTTGAGGAAGGATAAATGAATAAGTTTGGTATAGAGGATGTTTTGAGATGTGTTAGAGAAGTAAGTTGGTACCAAAGTATAGAGTGAAAGACTCCTTGAATGTCAATTTAAGTTTTATCTGTTGGCAATTTTAAATAATGAGTTACAAATTTAAAGTAGTACTTTAGAAATATCAGTCTATCATGGTTTATTTTGGAGTGTGGAGCTGATAGAAGCAAAGAAAACCTACTTGTTAAAATCCTATTCTAGTTGTTTTTGCTTGTGGGTTTTTCAAAGCTTGAGCTTGGTGTTTGTTTTTGTTTTTTTGGTGGCTGGTCGTTATGGGAAACTGAACCCATGACCTTGTGGTTATAAGGCTGCACTCTGAGCTAACCGGCCAGCCCTAATATCATAATTGTGGGACTAGAAAAGAGTAAGAAGGTATTTTGCATATTAGCTTACCTCAGACGTGACAAATCATTAAGTGGACTGAATTTAGATGAACTCAAGGCATAATTATTGCTAGTGAAATTACCTCTTATTTTTGAAGTATTCTAGGTTCATACAACAAACTTATAAAAACATATACCATTTAAGTCTTGGGTTACATACTAGAAAATGTACTAAAGAAACTTACTGGTTACTCCTGAGACTTATTTATGGGTTTGAGACTTATTTATGGGTTTATAGTCATCCTGGTCTTTTTCTGCATTTGCACAATTACTGCAGACCATTTTTTAAAACTTTCTTACATGACTGGGAAAAGGAAACTTCTGAGCAGAAAGTTGTTTATGATAATGTAATCATGAAAGATAATGCCAATAGTTTGCAAATGCATTTGAATATTTGAATAACCGAAAGTAATAAGCTTAGATTACACTAGAAATATATGTTAAAGAATATTATGGTACCTAGAGGCATGTTTAAATTGAAAGATAATGAAACTTTTTTTTTTTTTTTCAAGATCTGTTTACCCGAGGTATTGATATACAAGCTGTGAATGTGGTTATAAACTTTGACTTCCCAAAGCTGGCAGAGACCTATCTCCATCGTATTGGAAGATCAGGTAAGGAAAAGAAAAATGTTCTTGGTGGAAGTTGTTTTTTGATAAGTATAATCACTAAATTTTGTTTCTTTGTGAAATAGAGTAAGAGGGTAGCTGCAATTAATTAACTAATTCAGTTGTTTGATATTTAATTTCTAATTTTTTCTAGAATATTTATTAAGAAAAGTTAAAATAACTTTATGCTTAATTTGAGATGAAATTAAAACATGAGAACTTCACTTATGTGGTATGGTCTGTGTCTATATTGTTTAGTGTGTGTATTTTGGCACCTTTTGACACAAATGAGCATCCATTTTGTCATTTAAAAGTAGAATGAAATACTACTTTGGGCTGTGAAACTTAAAACTTTAGAGTAATATGTGTATGAGGAGACCATAAGAAGTGGTTTTGTATACTCAGAATGGCACTGAACAGAAATAACTAATCCTGTGTGGATTTGCCACTTAATAGACTTGCACATGCATGTTAATTTTCATATATAACTAACTCATTTTTTTAAACAAATTTTTCATTAGGTCGCTTTGGTCATCTTGGCTTAGCTATCAACTTGATCACATATGATGATCGCTTCAACCTGAAAAGTATTGAGGAGCAGCTGGGAACAGAAATTAAACCTATCCCAAGCAACATTGACAAGAGCCTATATGTGGCAGAATACCACAGCGAGCCTGTAGAAGATGAGAAACCTTAACAAGCATGTGCGTACCTGACAGAATAGCTAAGCGAGCAAACTTTTAAATAAAGGAAGGAAATCAAAATCCTTTCCTGGGGGAAATTTGATGTTGCACCGCATACAAGTATAATAGCAAAATAGGGTGGAACACCTGTAGGCATAAATGACAGTAAATAGCAAATATCCCTTAGATGAGGTTGTAGTCTCATGAGAGAATCTATAAATGCTGTTCTTGAATGCAGCTCCTTGAATAATATGACAGGCGAGTGGTACTTAAGACAAGTTCAGACTCCCAAAATAATGAAAGCAAAAAAGAATCTATTTTGGCAGTTTTGAATATGAAAATATTTTCTGCTCTTTTTCCTTTTTTACTCAGTCATCCCTTCAGACTTAATTTCTAATGGGTACATTAATAAATCAGGTAAAATTATTTAATAAATGTGTGATCAGGTTATGAGGATGGCTGTCTTTTTAAAATTCCCACTCTGATTTCCTGCACACCTTCTCCTTTCATCTTTTGATGGCTTTGGGGCTCTGGTTAGAAATGTGCAAAACACAGGCTCAACATTAAGCAATATAGACTATTTCAAAGTTTTTACTAAGGAAAATCTGATTTAATTTGACAGATATTTTCTAAACTACAATGAAAATCTTACAATTGTTGCTTGAAGAATTTCCAAGTTACTCTTTTCGCTAAAAACCTTTTTTCTAAGTTAAATGTCAGACACAAAACCCTGGGACAAAGAAAACTAGCCAGTGTTTGCTTGTACTTTCACAGCCTGTGAGTTTGTGTAAAGTTAAAAATGTTTTCCTTGATTTAATTGTTATGAATGAGGGCTGCTCACTACAAGAACATTGAGTCTCTCATTCTGTCTCAGGGATGCCTCGCAGAAATTCCTTAATCCTCACTAATGGATTCTGTAGTAGCTAAAGGCTCAGTAGAAACTACTAGAAAGAACATTTGGGTCAGGATTGTGAAAACCAATGTATTTTAGTTTGTATTGCTTTCAGAAATGTTAATTTTAGGTTTCTCCCCTCTTTCTATAGGCTTTGACAAACTACAGAAGGCTCATTTGGAACTGTGACACATTGTTTGTGGGGGGGGTGCTCTTCTCTTTCTGGGTTTTTCATCTTCTTTTATTTTGGAACTATGAAGACTTAAAAGAGCTCAGACATTTTTCTTTTTTTAAACTGGTGAAGAGAAAAAAGCTGAAAAGGAATATACCTTTTTTGTTCCACTTGTTTGCACTGTGTGCTGACTGAACATTAGTTGCACTAACTGCTGGTTTTTAAAAAAATGTTTTCTGGGGAAAGGGGACAAGGAAGGAAGAGAAAGAAGGGGAGAAACCCTAAAAAGAGAAGAATCTTGATGAACACACAAGCTTGTCTACGATTTCAGAATTCTCCAACAGCTGACTCTTGAGTGCATTTCAACTTCTCCTTGATTAGTCATCCGTTTTTTAAGCCTGAAGAGCTTATTACTTATTTGTGCGAAGTGCCTTATGCTATGAGACCATTCAGAATATCATCTTTTAGATACAGTCCAAGGAATCAACGATAGTAATTCTTTCTTTTTTTTTTTTTCTTTTCTTTTCTTTGTTTTAAAAACTTTTGTGTTTTCATTTTAGTTTCAAGTTGAAGTCACCTCTTCCCTTTCTACCTGATACTCAAGCCCAGGGCTGGAAGATGAAACTTACTAGTAATGTTAAACACCATTTTCTTTTTCTTTATATGGAGGAGTTGATAATGCAGCTGCAGTTCATCCGCACTGTAAATACATGTATTTAAAAAAAACAATCCCAAGTAAAAATTTTTTCTGGGCTGAGTAGATAAACATCATCGCTCCCAAAGGAAAGAGCAGTCTATCATTGCAGGAGCCATATGACAAGCCTTTGTGCTCTATAGCAGAACACTAAAGACTGGTTTACATACGCCTCCATTAGCAGTATGGCACTTGATGTGTAGACATTTCAGAGCCTTGACCCTCTTTCCTCTGTGGCAAAGCGTGTCCCATAGAAAATTGGGTGTGTATACTTGTATAAACTTTGTAAATAAGTTTTTTCTGGGTTCATATATATATATATATACATATATATATATTTTTTTTTGGATGAAGGTTGCTGGGATTAAGGGGATTAGAGTGATTATGGGAGCAGCTAAAGATGAGAGGGGCTCAGTTTTCCGCAACACTAAATTCTAAAAAGTACTTGGCCTCTTACTGTAGAGAGCAGACCTCTATGGGACCCTGTTAGAAAAGGGACCTAGAAGTCTGGGGTGCACTGTGTTCTGCCACACTGTCTCATCTAGTATCTTTGGAGGAGACTTGCCAGAGAGATCAAGGTAGCTTCAAAAATCTACAAGTTTTTTTTGAGAAGCTCTCTGATTTTGCTTCTTCCCCCTTTCTAAAAGTTTGAGGAACTTTTCAAGCTGTGCAAAAGGGGACAAAGATTAATCTACCTTGCAGTGTGGGAATTCTGTTGAGTGGCAGTGTCTTTGAGCAGTATATGTATAAAGCATGGATTTGCATTTCAGAACATCAGCCAGTACCAGCTCTGGTAACATTAGCAGTTCTGGACCTTAATTTTCTGTGGATCATCTCCTGTAGTGTGTGAATGTGTTGCCCTCTGCCCACCTTGATACATAAACTTTTGCAGGAATGGGCAACCCCTGAGAACTGTTAACTCATGCCACAGAAAGCTGCTTGCCATTTTCTTGCGTTGTGACAGGAATTGTTATCTGTCATTTTGCCTTGTAAATTGCTGGCAATTGCTTTACAGTCAGTAGTGTTGCTTTAAATTGTGCCCCTCCCAACATGCTTGATGTTTGGCCTGATCTCCAGGCAAAAGGAGTGAGATGAATCAAAACCAGTGAACTTTTTTTTTTTAATGTTTTTAATTCCCTTTCAACCCAGTATACTAGGTCAATTAGGAGGCATCTGGGGGGGGGGGGCAAAAAACAAAATTAAAAAAAAAATTGATTTCTATATTCCATTGTTTTTCAAAATCCTAAAATATTGCAAGATAAGCCCTGCATATGCTTTCATGCTTAACTCAACCGGATAAAGAAATCAATTACTTGGAGTTGCTTTTTTGACTCTGCCTAGTCTAAGCAAAACTGTTTGTCACTCAAAGTTCTTTGGGGATCAAAACCCTGCAGATGCCTCCTGATCAGACAGCCCTAACTCCTTTACTGTAGCAAGAGCTGCACAGTACAAACCCCAAAAAGAGCAAGCTCATTTATTAGAAATCCAAGTCACATATGTTCTATCCAGTCAATATTGGTTACTAAATATAAACCTAAAATTAAGGAAGTAACTTTTTTCCGGGGGTGGGAAGGGTGGGGGGAGGGAATTTAAAAGGCGTCAACTTTTGTCTAAGACATCTTGCCCTTGTACTGGTGCAGCTCTCTTTTTTCCCCCACCTCTGGCGAGAAAAGAGGACTTGTACATGTAGAAGAAACAAAGGAGTGTATAATGCAATTTTGTTTCTCGCTAGAGAGCATGTGGGTGACAACGACAGTGCAGTCTCCTTTGCCAACTGTAGACTGCTGTGCCTGGTGCCACATGCCTGTGGGTCCCTCTTAAAGCACAGACAAAGTTGAAAGTATTACTGAAGTACAGCCTCTGATGAGGAGTGGCACTTAAACTATCTGGGACACCATTATTGGACACAGTCTTGTAGAGGCAGCTGTCCAGTTTTGGTGCTTGACTCTTAAACAGGAATTGTTAAATGGAAAGATGCTCTAAGGACTAGGTCAAAGCCTGGTCTCTTTTTTTTTTTTCTTTTGATCCCTCATAATAAGGAGCATTGTTACTATTGGAAATTGTTTTCAGATTTTTTTTTTTCTAATATTGTTTTTTTTTAAGTAATGGTCATATTTTTCCAGTGGTTCAATTGGATGAGAACTGGTCCTTATTTTTAATATTGAAACTGTCCAGCTTATGGTTAGGCTGTGGTTGTGTAGTTGTGTAATGGGTTCTGGACTGTTACACACTGCTGCGTCTAGGCCTGTGTTTTGTTTTTCTCTCCACATAAGTTCTGATGGGGAAAGAAACTTTCTTTTCCCTTAGGAATGAAAGAAATTTATTCTAAAATGATCTTTCATGGAAAGAAGTCAGGGAGAGGGAAGCCTTAATATATCTCTAAATTATTTTCAAGTTGGTCCTAGCATCATAATATGGCCAAAAGGGGGGGTGGGGAAGGTTATCAGTATTTGTTTTCAGAATGAGATGGGAGCATCTTTCCTTAGCCATGTGCTTTGTGTTTGATACCATATTGCTTGGTTAGAATAAGACAACTCAGCACAAAGCCTTGAGTGTAAATTGTTGGAATCAAAACATCTCATTCTGATCACTTGGTTTTCTTTTTTTCTTTTAATGGGGTGGGAGGGAGGGTACTGTGCCCCAAAAGGGAGGGTGTCTGAACTAAGGATTTAGAAACACTTTGGAAGCTCATAGCCTCATCAGAAACTGCCTTTAGCCACACTCCTTACCTTCTAGATGAGTAACAAAAAAAAAATGAAATAAGTTCTTGGGAATTAAGCCATGTTATTTTAATTTGCTACTTTTTTCAGTGTTCTATGTATCTTTAAAATTGTTATTGTGGAATCGTTTTCTTGCCAAATAACTTCGTCAAGCAAAATTATTGGCCTCATGGGAGCTGAAGTCAGCTTTTTGGTGTACGTAAGTGGACTTTGGTGAGCTTGTAGTTCTACTTTATATTCCTAAAGATAGTTTTTTAAAACTCCCAAAGAAAATCCTACTCCCCTTTCTGATCTAAAAACTCATCTTTGGGGTAGAGTTAAGTGTCCAAAGGTTGTAACAGTTAATGAGGTCAGAGGGAGCTAGCCTGGCACCTGGATTCTGCCCCTCCACAGCTGACAGATTCCAACAGAAGTGTATTTAAATTCTCCAGTAGACAATGCTGAGCAGGGCAAGGGAGGGGGTAGGGCTGGGTATATTAAGATACAGGCTACTGTATTTTAACCAATGGTTATGGGGGAGGGGTGCCTGGAGAAAACAAAGTCACTGTTCCCTTTTTTGAAATAAACTTGAAAAAATTTATTTTTCAGTAGAAATGGGAGAGAATTCCAATGTCCCTAGCCACAAGGGACCAGTTCCACTGAGAAGTGAACAGTGGGAACTCAAAATTTTGAAAACATTTGGGGAAAGGGAAAATTGGCTTTCTGTTAATTGGCAAATGTTCCAGTAGGGCTCTCTTTGTTTGGATGTGTTATGTTGTATGTACATGTATATGGACCAGAGTCTGCTGAGTTGATAAGGTTCAGAAAAGATGGTTGGTAAAATCTTGGTTTTTTTGTTAATTTATCTAAATAAAAGCCCACTGGAACCCCAAATGTGTGTGTGGTATATCCTTAGCGGCAGGCTATGTGTTGAGGTGTTTAGGAATCTGAGCTTGAGAGCATTTTACTAGAGTAATTTATGTGATGAAGAGGTCAGAGGTTTTCAGCACTATTCTTGTAAGCCCAGTTGACTAAAATCTGAGAGTACCTTCATCTAACCTAGATTATCCCACCATGCACTGTCAGTTTTCATAAACCTGAGTAGAGAACCAAGATAATCAGGAAAGAGATGTTGGTCCACAGTTTGTCCAGAGGGATTCTCAGTAGTTATCACTTCCCAGAGGAATTGTTCTCAGATGAAAAGCCAACACCCACGAAAACTAAGTGTGCTACATTTAACACTATGAATGGAATTCGTATGCTGAGAACTACGAAACACCTGAAAGAAATCAAAAGATCTAACTTGAGAAATTCAGACATTTAAGAAGGTGAACACAATACCCTCAGCTGCTCCTCCCCACAAAGAAATACACACGTATAACAAAATATGTGCAGTACCTACATGCTGAAGAAAGAAATCAGACCTAAGTAAATGGAGAGAGATGCCTTGTTTGTGGATTGGAAGACATTAAAACAAGAGTTTCACCAATTTGGTCCGTAGCTTCAGTGCATTTCCAATTGATCTTAGCAGGCTTTTTTGTATATCCCCCCAAGTTTATTCTAAAATTTGTGTGGAAAGGCAAATTGATGGCCTGACAATTTTCTAAGAGAAGATTGGAGGACTCACTACCTAATTTGAAGACACACTACAAAGCTACAGTAAAGAATGTGCTGTTGGCAAAAGAGTAGAAGTATGTTGATGGAATAGAATGGAGAGCCCAAGGCCGGCCCGTGGCTCACTCGGTAGAGTGCGGTGCTCATAACACCAAGGCCACGGGTT